TGCTGGGGCTCCGGCCATCCTTCCGCCTCAGCCTTCTGAGTAGCCAGAACTACAGGCGTGCGCTACCACGCCCGGCTCATTTTGATTTATTGTACAGATGAGGTCTCGCCAAGTTGCCCAGGCGGGTCTTGAACCCACGGGCTCAGCCAGTCCACTCACCTCAGCCTCCCAAGGCATGGGATTACAGGCTGAGCCACCGAGCCTAGCAAGCAGGTACTTTTTAATGGTTAAAATTTTAATTTTTACTTTTTAATGGGTATAAATTTTACAAATACACCGAAGGCTCATGCAATACTGCTGGCATTGAACGCAATCCTGGGCTGTAAGTCTGCACACTCCTTTGCAACTGGTCCTGTAATGGCAGAACCCTTCATCTTGCCATTATTGTTGACTATGACCCCTGCATTATCTTCAAAATAAAGAAACATGCCGTCTTTCCTTCGGTGTGAATTTCATTGTCGAATGACCACTGCTGGATGCACCTTCTTTCTGAACTCTGGTTTTCCTTTCTTAACTGTGGCCATCGCCATGTCACCCACACCAGCAGCGGAAGTCTGTTCAGCCATCCCTTGATTCCCTTCAGAGGTGATATACAGATTTCTGGCTCCTGTATTGTCAGCACAGTTGATCACGGCACCTACCGGAAGACCCAGGGAAATCGGAATTTCGTACCAGAGGACCCACCACATCCTCGCTTTGACATCTTGAACGCCAGAAAGGATTTTTTTTTTTTTTATAATAGATTTCTTTTTTTTTTTTTTTTGAGTTGGAGTCTCACTCTGTCGCCTAGACTGGAGTGCAGTGGCCGCTTCTGGCCACCGCAGCCTCGACCTGCTGGGCTCCGGCGATCCTTCCGCCTCAGCCTTCCAAGTAGCTGGAACTACAGGTGTGCGCTACCACACCCGGCTAGTTTTTTGATTTCTTGTAGAGATGAGGTCTCGCCAAGTTGCCCAGGCGGGTCTCGACCTTGCAGGCTCAGGCAATCCACTCACCTCAGCCTCCCAAAGCGTGGGATTACAGGCTGAGCCACTGAGTCTGGCTAACAATAGGTTTCTAATCAGAAAAATTAAAAGCTGCCCTTTTAAAACTATTAAAATAATCTACCATTCAAGGTACTAAAAAACAAGAGAAATAAGACATTCTCACCTCCCACGTAATTTATAATCTTATGAAGAATGCAGAAAAGCAAACAGGCCTTTAAAATGCAGTGAGTAAAACACAGTATGCTGGGTAGGAGGACCCCTGCGTGTGAGACTTTATGGAACAAATCACCATCTCACCTGAGTCTCAAAGGTTCAAGAGGTATTAGCCAGTAACGGGGTCCTAGACAGGTCGTGTACAGGTTTGGGGTGAGATGATGGAAGCCTGGCTAAAGTATAGAGTGGGCAAAGGGATTGGCGATATGAGACTGAGAGATAAGGAGAGGCCAATACACAGGAACGAGGGAGGCCAGGTTAAGGAATTTGGGCGTTATTCTGGTATTGGTGGTTGCCACTGAAAGCTTTTATGCAGGAAATGGTTGCATCAGATCAGATTTGCCTGCCTGAGAATTATTCAGAAGGGAAGCCGGGTGTCATTTGCTTATATAGGCAACATAGAAGACCAAATTGGAGATAAAGGTTGCGTTAGATGTTGAGCTCTCTGGGATATCCTGGTGATGGTGGCAGAAAGTTTGGTCTGGAGCCGAAAGGTGCAGCCTGAGGTGGAGATGACCAAGGATAAGTGACTGTAGAGGTGTAAATTGAAGCCTTGTCTGAGGGTTGCAGTTTCTCAGGGACCTCATTGAGTAAGGGCTTGAGATAGGTCCCCAAGGAATGCTTGGGAAGGCCAATTATACAAGAGGTCCAGCGAGTAGGGAGGCGACTAAGAGAGGCCATGGGACAGTCTGCAGGAAAGAATGCCACAAATCCATGTCATGTGACTGTTTGACAAGCATCTGTTTCACTGTTTCACTTGCAGAAGACTAACTTTTCTGGCTAAGGTAATATATTACCTTAAATACTGGTCAGGTTTTCCTGTTTGGAAAAGTCTAGGAGAGGCAGTCACATCCCTTGTCCCTCTGGCTATGCTTCTGGACACTGGAAAAGCCTGCAAGGAGACCCACCAGGAAAAAAAGTAGAAGACAAGGCCACAATCCAGGTAAAAGGCCAGTATGAGGACTGAATAATCTCCCTGGATTTGGCAAGTAGAGGTTGCTGGCAATAACTGAGAAGAGCTCTTGAAGGGGCGGGGCAGAAACTGGAAAGTCAGTTGAGATATAGACTGTGGGACGAGGACATGGAGGCAGTGATTCAACTGTGCTTGAAATCTGACTGCCCTATATTCATACTTGCCTCACTCTGTTCTCGGAGGAATGGGTGTAATTTTTTTAAAATCATAAACTATAATCCTGATCACTTTACCATCTGCTTTAAAATCCACCGTTCTCTAATTAATGACCTAGTCTTTGCCCAGAACGCTAATTCATCTCTTTCTGCCTCTCCCACCTCACTTCTGTCCTCTCCCTTTGTGCCACCCCCTCCAAGCTGCAGCCATGTTGCCTCCTCCAGATCCCCAAGCCTCTTCTGGCTAATTTCTACACGTCCTTCAAGTTTCAGCTGAAATGTCACATCCCCAGGAAAGGCTCCTCCCTCTCCTGGGGGAGGCCACACCCCTTAAAAGGACTTGTCATTTAAATGCAGTTGCACATCACTTAATGATGGGGATAGATTCTGAAAAATGCAGAATGATTTCGTTTGTGTGAACATCACAGGCTGTATCTGCACACACCCTGATGGTGGAGCCCACTACGCACTCCTAGGCTCTATGGTACAGCCTATTGCTCCTAGGCTACAAACCCATAATGCATGTTATTGTAGTGAATACTTTAGGCGACTGGGACACAATGGTAAGTATTTGTGTATCTAATATTAGAGATGGTGCAGTAAAAAGTGTTATAGAAGATTTAAAATAGCGCCCTATATAGGGCACTTACCGTGAGTGGATGTGCCCTGTACAGGGCACATGACTGGGATTTACTCTTGGTGAGTCAGTGTGTGAGTGGTGAGTGAATGTGAAGGCTTAGGACCTTACTGTGCACCACTGTAGACTTTTAAGCACTGTACACTTAGGCATACTAAACTTTTTACATTTTTCTTCAATAATAAAGTAAGCTTAATTTACCGTAACCTTATAAATTTTGACCTTTTTTTGCTTCTTGTAAATGTACATTATTTTATGTATATCCTTATTCTGTAAGCCTTTTTCTATTTTTAAAATAGCACAGTAGGTTTTTTATGCTAGCATCACCTCAGACACTTAAGTAATGCATTGTGCTACAACACTGACAGTCCTAGGCAGTAGGAATTTTCCAGCTCCATTATAATCTTACAGGACCACCATCTTATTCGAGATCCATTTTTGACTGAAACATTGCTATATGGAGCCTGGCTGTAGTTGATTGCTTTATCTTCCAACCTAGTACTCACTACTTGAAAAAAGGAATTAACTCATCTTTTTAGCATCTTACACTACATGGGGCCAACTCTGTATCCTGCCCACTCAATTAATGGCATATGGATTTCTGTAAGATACAGAAAGACATCCCTTCTGAGAGCAAAGAGTCATCCTAGGGGAAAACTGAACCGAGAAAGTAAAACAAGGCCCCTGCTAGGAGAGATTCCATGGTGAAGAAAACATGGCGTGGCTGGGGATGGCAAGTAAAATAGTTGGTCTGATGTTAGCAGTATCAACCCAGACACCTATTGACATATCAAATGATTCTGTATCTACAATTAGGGAACCAGGACTGGTTGATTTTTCAGTGAGACCTTGAGATAAAACTTGGAATGACCGAACATTTTTGTTATCCTACACCTACCAGAGGTGTTAAAATTTGTTTTTAAAGAGAGAAAATGACCTTCCTGAAATATTAAACTAGACCACAGACCACCCATGTATTCATTTACACTGTAAGATT